AGGATACAAGGTTAATATATAAAAGTCAATTACTTTCCTATATACCAGCAATTAAAAAAATAATACACTTACATTAGAACCCCCCAAAATAAGTTACTTAAGAATATATCTAACAAAATATGAAAAAATTCTATATGAGAAAAACTCTGATGAAAGAAAACAAAGAAGATCTAAATAAATGGATAGATATTCAATGTTCATGGATAGGAAATCTCAATATTGTCAAGATGTTCAGTTCTTCCCAATTTGATCTATAGATTAAATGCCTTCCCAATCAAAATCCCAGCAAGTTATTTTATGGACAGCAACAAACTGATTCTAAAGTTGATATGGAAAGGCAAAAGACAAAGAGAATATCTAACATAATACTGAAGAAGAACAAAGTTGGAAGACTAACACTACTCAACTTCAAGACTTATTATTAAGCTACAATAAAGACTGCATGGTATTTATTGGTGAAAGAAGAGACAAGTAGATCAATGGAACAGAATACAGATCCCAGAGATAGATCCACACAAATATAGTCATCTACTCTTTGACAAAGGAGCAAAAGCAATTCAATGGAGAAAGATAGTCTTTTCAACAAATGAGACTGCAACAACTGGACATCCGCATGCANTCAATGGAGAAAGATAGTCTTTTCAACAAATGAGACTGCAACAACTGGACATCCGCATGCATCGACAACGATAAAAAAATGAATCTACTCACTGACCTTACATTTTTCACAAAAAAATTAACTCAAAATGAATCATAGATCTAAATGCAAAACAGAAAATTATAAAACTTCTAGAAGATAACATATGAGAAAATCTAGGTGACCCTGGGCTTGACAATAAGTTTGGCTACGACATCAAGAGCGTGATCCATGAAAGAAAAAAACTGATAAGTAGGAATTCACTAAAATTAAAAACTTCCACTCTGCAAAAGACACTGTTAAGAGAATGAGAAGACAAACCACAGACTGTGAGAAAATATTTGCAACACACATATCTGATGAAAAACATGAATTCAAAATATGCAAAGAACTCTGAAAACTCATCAATAAGAAAACAAACCACCCAATTAAAAAATGGGCAAAAGATCTGACAGCTACCTCACCAAAGAAGATATACAAACATACAGCAACTTATTAACAAGGTTTTTGCTATGAAAGCTAAAACTTTCTTTTGTCATTACTTAACAAGACTTATACAGGAGAAAAAGGATAGATTCAATAATATTTTCTTTAAAAAAGTATAAATATGTTAAAGAATCTACAGGAAAAGGTGAATACAATGAGTGACAAGATGGGGAATTTCAAGAGAAAGAAGAAAACTCTNAAATAAATAAAATGTGCAAAGGGTCCATATCTATTGAATCAATAATGAATAAATTAACACCCATTTGTAATAAAAAGTCTCAGCAAAGTAGGAATATAGGGTAATCTCCACAACTTGATAAAGAACATCTACAAAAAACCCTACAACTAACATCATACTTAATGGTGAGAAAATAGATGCTTTCCCCTAAGATTAAGAACAAGGCAAAGATGTTCTCTCTCATCACTTCTATTCTATATCATAATGGATGTCCTAGATAATGCAGTAAGACAAGAAACAAAAGAAAATGTACACAAACAGGGAAGAAAGTGATAAAGCCATCTTTCTTCACAGATGGCATAATTGTTTATGTAGAAAATCCCAAAGAACTGACCAAAAAACCCTTCTGGAATTAATAAGTCATTACAGCTGGGTTGTAGGATACAAGGTTAATATATAAAAGTCAATTACTTTCCTATATACCAGCAATTAAAAAAAT